TGTGTGTGTGTGTGTGTGTGTGTGTGTGTGTGTGTGTGTGTGTGTGTGTGTGCGCGTGGAGGGTTGACGAACACGCTGAAAAATTCACACACCGTTTGAGTTTACCTGATTTTGTACTCGTGCACACAACACATTTTTAAACTCAGCGCACCTGCCCTGTGCTCACAGAGGAGCTGGCTGCATCAGAAAAACATCAGAGAGAATCACTTCTTGTCTGTCTGCGAGTCTGGATGTGAGCGCCGTGTTTACGTCTGAGGAAACAGGGAAAGCAAACATCAAGGTCAAAGATGCTGGAGCCTGTCCAAGCAATAGATAGCCTTCTCCCTAACACAGCTGCAGACCTGCTTTAACATATAATATGTCCCAGAGGGGCAACAAAGCATTAGATAGCTGGGTTTAGTTTAGAATACTCAGAATGGTTACAGTAAAGAGTTATTTGTCTTTATAATTTTCACCGGACATGTTAGACCCTTTATCCACACAGAAACACAATATCTGACCAGATATAGTGTGGACATAAGGGTCTAGCATACACTTCAAATCAAACCTAACATATAATTTAGAAATGTTTAAGCTCAATCTTTTAGCTTAGTCTTGTCATTCATTGTCTCACTGTCCAGCAGACGGACTAAACATAATCCTGATGCCTGCTCTTAACGCTGACCTCATTAGCCAGACGTCCATGGGCATCTCTAGGTCATCTCCACTAAAACAAAGAGTAACCAGTCTTTACTCTTCCATCCTGTTTCTTTATCCCTCTGTCAGTCCAGCACTCAATCCACACATTCTGTTTTTTTTTCTATGTCTCTGTGTCCATCTGTCTTGAATTATGTATTCTAATGCATTTAGAGCGAGGCACAAAGTGGCAGACCACACTGGACTGCTTTTAGTCGTGCCATGCGTCGCCATCCAATGGATCACAGGAAAAGCCCGAGAAGTCTCCGTCCTTCTTGTCTGCGTGTGAGCGAAGCCATTTTTTTTTTTTTTGTAATGCAGTATGTCTTTGAGCATCATCTGCTTGAATCGAACGCGTTTAACTCTCGCTTGCAGATTCTTCTATCACTCTCTCTTGTCTTTTCATCTGCCTCTGTCCGTAACACACACACACACACACACACACACACACACACACAC